CCCCAAAACCCCAAAACCCCAAAACCCCAAAACCCCAAACATTTTTAAGTAATTATAAATATTAAATTGCGCAAAAATGTTTGTGAGAAAAGTTGAAGTCAAAGGGTTCCGAAGCTACAAGAAGTTAGAGAACCAACAGTTCGAGTTCTGACCTGACATTAACCTTATCATCGGGCTGAATGGAAGTGGAAAGTCAAATTTGCTTAGCAGTAAGAAATTTTAGTAAATTATAGGTCTATCGTTCATGTTTGATGACAGATTATCCAAGCTCGCCCTAGATGAGAAGACAAGGATTGCTCATCAGGATGGAGATAACACAAGCGATGTTATATCAGTCTCTGTTGAGTTCGATAATCATCAGAAGTTGATTCCTATTGGCCAAGATACTATCACTTTGAAGAGAGAGCTCAATATTCAGAATGGCAAGGATTCATATTTTCTGGGAAATGATTTAATCCTCAAAAGTGATCTTCATTCCTTCTTTGGGTTCACTGGAGTCTTGTTCAATGATATGTGTAGATCTATCCACCAAGGAAAGATACAGGAGATAGCCAACTTAGATGAGTCAGGACTCCTTGAGGTTTTGTTGGATTACTCCGGAGCTACCCAGCTTAAGAACAGGCTGCAAACTTTAAGAAATAGCCTCACCATTTGTAGTACCAAGAAGGATGAAATTGAAAGATTTAAGGGAGTTGTCGTCTCTAAGCTAAACCTGATTGCTGAAAAGGTCTCAGATTTTGAAACCCTGCAGAAGCTATCTACTGAAAAATACTCCTTAGAATATCTACAACTGAAAAAGAGAGGAGAGAAGCTCAAAGGTGAAATCACCCGAAACCAAGAGTCCAAGAACGATATCATGAATGCTGTCAATGCAGATAAGAGTGAGAAGAACGAGATATTAGCTTCGTACCAATCTTACATCACTGAGATCAGGCAGCTCAAGAGTAAGATCCAAGCTAACAAGGATAAGGAGACTATGTACCAGCATTATTCTGATTCTAAAAATATGGACCAACTGAGCATCCTTGACAAAGAGAACAGGGTTGAGAACTTCAAGTCTGACTATGAAAAGAATATCGGCGACTTCCATAAGTCCATCCCTGCTCTGGAGGAAGAACTTGAATCTATCCAGAAGCTGATCCCAGAGCATGAGCAGGAAGTCTCTGAGAAGACCAAGAAGTTCCAAGAAATTCAGGCAAAATATTTGAATGCTAAAGAATCTTATGAACTTCTGCAAGAAGAGCTGAACCATTCTGCAGTGAAAAGAAGTGGATTCAAGAATGAAAAGGAGAGAAAGAAGTTCTATACTCAAGAAATGAGTAAACTCGCTACTGAAATCTCCATGATCGAGAGACACCTCAAGAAGGAAGTTGATGCCCAGGAAAAGCTGAAGGAGGAAATTAAAATTGTGGGAGAGCAGATTGAAGACGAAACTTTACAGCTAGAAGACAAAAAGAAGAAGCTTACCCAAATTGAAGTCAACATGGATCCTTCAAAGAAGAGAGACAGGAATCTAAAGTATGTCCAGAGCCTAAACTTTTCTCTGGATGAGAAGAAGATCGAACAGAAGGAGAACTCAGAAAAGATTCTTGCTCTTGAGGAGCTCATCGAAGGGTCTGACAAGAACTATAAGACAATATAAAAAGGCTAATGAGAAAGATTGAAGATGAGGATATCTCAGGATTCCAAGGACTCTTTATCGACCTCATAGAGATCAAAGATGAAATAATGTACCCAGTCGTGGAAACAGCGCTGAAAGGCAAACTCTTTGTCTTAGTAGTAGATACAGTAAGAAGTGCTAATAAGATCATGGAGCTCAATAAAGAAATCAAGGGTGGTGTCATTCAATGTTTCCCACTTGAGCTGATTGAGCAGATTAATGATCCTAAAGCTCAAGTCCCCCAAGGAAATGATGCAAGACCTCTCCTAAGTAGAGTTAGCATCAAAAGTGGAGTTGATCCAAGAATCGGAAAGTTGCTTGACCACTTTTTGGGGAAAGTTTATTTAGTATCAGACTTGGATACAGCCTTCACCATGTCTGATCTCTACAAAGTTACTTCTATTACTCCTGGCTTGAAGATTGTATACCCAGGAGCTTTTATTGCTAAAACAGGAAGTTACGATTACAGCAACAAGAAGATAGCCCATTACTACAATCTAGCAGAGCTAAAGAGCAACGAAAAGGATCTTAAGGGCGCTATTTTCGAGTTAGAAATGAACATTAGCAACTATAAAGCGAAAGATTTAGATTACCTGAAAGACAACCAACAGTATCTTCTCTCCCAAAGATCACTCTCAAGAGAGGTCCATAACCACAATATGATGATCGTTGAGAAGAACTCCCGACTCTCTGAATTTCATACAAGCCTAGAGAGAAGTAAGAACCAAGTTTTAACTCTTGAGAAGCAGATTGAGAAGCACCAGGAGTCCCAGGCTAAACTTGAGAAAGAGATGAAAGGAGATAGCTCTTCTAGTGACGAATCTGATAACACTAAGGAACTCCTCAAAGCTATTGAGAAACAAAGAATAATTCTGTTAGATTCTGGAACGAAAATGGGCAAAGCCAATACTGAATTGGAGAGCATCAGAAATCACTTACACAATGTCCTTCTAAAGAGAGAAAAGGAAGTCTCTCATGTCCTGAACGAGAAGCAGAGGCAGCAAGCTAATGTCGAGAAGAAGGAGCAGATCGAGAATCAGCGAGCCAGTAGTGACGATCTCAGAAATATGGAAGAATACGCACCAAAGAGAATGATTAATGCTCAGGAGGGTCTCCGACTCACTAGGATGGAGATCGAGAAAGATGAAGAGACACTTGATCAAATCCAAGCTCAAGCTATTGAGAAAGCACAGGAGAAGGACCTTATTGACAACAAGATCATGGAGAAACTCATCGATCTTGAGAAACTCAACGTTGAGCTTCGGAATCTCCGGGAAAGATGTGCTGTAGAGAAGTTAGAATCCCTGAAACAGAAAGCCGATCCCGCCCGCATTAAGGACAATTCTCTACCTGAGGAGAAACTAGAGGATCTTATTAAGAAGAAGGAGAAGCAGATTAAAGAAATTGAACAAAAAGGGAACAAATCTCATATGTATGGGTTTTACCTCAGGATGAAAGATCAATATGAAGAAGTCATCAAGAAGGTTGATCACCTCGATCAGGTCAAGAGTAAGATCACAGAGATTCTGGATGAGTCTGAGAGGAGCAAGACTATAGCCATCCAGAACTCACTGAAGAGGCTTTCAAAGAAGTTCAATGAGTACTTCTCCTTCTTTGTTGAGAATGCGGATACCTCTATCAAGTTCATCCAAGCAGCAGGAATAATGGATAGCAAGGAAGAAGAGCAAAATGATGACATTGAGGAGGTCAAGACACCTAGAGAAGAGACCAAGGACTCACCTGAAAAGAGTCTAGATATGAAGGAAGAGAGCAAGATTTTGAAGGATGACGCTCAAGACAAGAAAACTCAGAAGTCTATGGAAAGCCAAGCTAATGGAGTCCAGATAGGTGACCATATGTATACAGGGCTTAGCGTCAAGGTTAATTTTAAAGAAAAAGCGAGGATCCAAACATTAAAGGAACTTTCAGGTGGAGAGAAAACAGTCGTAGCTCTCTGCTTCTTATTCGCCTTGAACTCACTGACTCCGTCATATGTATACCTTCTAGATGAGGTAGATAGTGCTCTGGATCAGATGTACAGAGGCGGGTTGAATAAGCTTCTTTCCCAGATAACAGCAGCTGGTACGACCCAGATATTCATGACATCATTCCACGAAGAGATCATCAAAGCAGCTGATAAGATCTTTAAAGTAGATTTTAAGAACTGCAGAAGCAAGATCTTTGAATGCGACAGAGAAAGGGCTGAGATGGTCTTGAAGGAGATCAAAGATAGTAAGAGGGAGGAGCAGTAGGCTAAATTTTCATAAAACAATTCTTAATTACCAATAGAATCAATAATATATAGCTTTATTGGGGTTTTGGGGTTTTGGGGTTTTGGGGTTTTGGGG